TAAGGCGAGAGAATAAAACCCACGCAAGCCGCTTAAAATGCTATCAAAGCTGTATTGGTCGAGAGCTTCCGTCTGAGTCGACCTCGTCGTGTTGCTCTTTCCCAACCCTCCTCATCCCCCTTCCAGCTATCCTCCCGAACTGACAACACAATGCTCAATGACGGCGGAAAAGTCGCTGAGCCAGACGAGGAGGCGACAGGACACGCTACTACTATCCTACCATCCTACCATCCTGCAATCCGACTCCGTCTCCATCTCCGTCTCCGACTGAGACTGAGACTCTCACTTCTGTACTTTGTGTGAAATAATTGCTAGGAATTTTCACGCGTATTTCCGTCTTTGCCTTCCGCTTTTCCAGAAGCCAGGAGCGACTTCCCCGCCTGGGCACTAAAAATTTCACAGCAATTTTCAGCTCACCTGCGCGCAAAGTATTTCCACAGCTCGTTCCGTTCGTCGTTGCGATTTTAACAATTTTATTAAATTGAATTTATATCATTTACACGCTTGTCGACTTCAAGTCTGCCGTAGACCGGCGGCATGGGCATCGGCAGCGGCATCCACCTGCTCCTCCTCGCCGTTTCGCCTTGTCGCCGTTTAATTTCGCGCTTTCTTTTTATGTGGCATTTCAGCTGGATGTACTCGCCTCATTCAGGGGGAGCAGATATTTTTTCATAGGCGTGCCGGGGCTTTTGGCAATTTTTGCTTTCATGATTATTGATGCGGGTGAAATTTAATTGGTCGCCTTGTGTCTGTCCGTCCCTCGTCTAGACCCCAGAAGCTTGCGTCCGCCTCCTTATTAGATCATATTTTTCCGGACTAACGAGTTGTAGTCTCTTTCCCGGCACATTAGACCACTTGAGTAGAGTTGAGTCGTTGGGGATGCTCTGGCTCTGGACTAACGCCAATTTGCTGGGCTAGGAATCCCATCCTGCGGAAAGCGGAAACAATTCTTTTGACCGCTTTCCCGGTTGTATCTTCTTATCAAAAGTATTTCTAGCTCAGAAACTTTAAAAGAGTTGCCACGCATGTCTGCGCCGAAAATTTGTTTAAATAAAAGGAAAACGGAAAAGTTTTCTTATTTCGCGCAAAAGCTCTCTCTCGAAAAAAAGAGTGTGCAACAACAAACAAATAAGCAGCAAAGAAAACTTCGACGCCGATACAATTTCGTAAAATGTCGAAAACTGTGATTGCTTGGCAGGCAGGAGCAGGGCTAACTCCCTCCTGCTCCTGTTCCTTTGGCATTCGGCTGCTTCTCCGCCCGCACTCCCCTCCGAGGAGCGTAAACTGCTTCAGCGCCGAACTTTGAGGCAAATGTAAATACTTTTCCTGGCAAATATTATCACAATTCCACGCGGCTGCTGCCAGAGACACTGAATAAACTGTTGGCTTGGGTCGCAGCCGAACAGCTGAAAAGTAAGCAGCAGGAAATATCCGGCAATTGCAATCACAGAGGGTGGTGATGGGAGTGAGTGGTGGCAGCTTGCCGGGACTCATAACCCTGCAAAATCATCGTACATATACTCGATAAGCTCTCCGATCGATGAAGTCCCAAATTGGGCTTTTATACCATCCACTAGCCACATAGGATTAATCCAGGCCGTCGTGAACCATTTCCCATTTCCATGCACAATTAGCCGGCGTAATGTGACGAACAAATTAGCCAAAAGCCCCTCTCATCTTGCAACCGATCCATGGGTGCACACACTGGAGGCGCATAAAAATTCATGTCCTCGAATATTGCGCATACTCCGCGTTGGCCTGGCCTGCATAGCGATAAACTTCAAGTGCCCTGCATGGCCATCGTTTGGATGGGCAATGACTAGAACATGGCTCGCCGCATCCGCATCCGCATCCGCATCAGCATCGATTGTCATTGAGATGGGGTTACGGCAGGGGCTCTGGGTCCTCAGGTCCGAGGGCTGTCAGAGGCAACGCTTTGCCATATTAATCTGGTTAATGATGAAACTGAATCAGCGTTTTAAACGAGCCACTGCACAATGGAGTGCTTGGACTCCAGCCGCTGCTGCTCTGTCCGCTGTCCTCATGGCCGTGTTGCTGTGTCGCATAAATGGCCCAGTCTGCAAATAAATTAGCTGCGGCTTTCTCTCGCCTCCCGACCACTGGCCATAAAGTTGCCATTTTCGCCATTCTTTTTCTGGCCATCCGCTGTTGACTTGAATTTAAGGCAACTTTATCTCGCCGTTCATTTGAGTATCCGTTTGCATATTTTATTGCATCGAAAGGCAGCGAATGTATGCCCTTCTGATTTAATTAATTATAGCCTTAGTGGGATCGCCTTGTGAGTCCTTAAAGCTATGCCCTCTTAAAGTGCCCCTTGCTCTCTTGCTTCCCAAAGCCGCGCAATGTCCGAAAAATTGGTCAATTATTCAAACGAATTTCACGCATTTAATTGTGTAAATTTAGCCAGGCATGACAGGCTCTACCCCCGAGGTCTCCGGGATTCCAGGACGCCGGACCACCCACCGTTCGATGTCCGTGCAGTCCGAATGGTTCCTGATGTGCGTCGGCTAACTGTACGTAACGTCATAATCACCCCGAAGCGCACGTAATTGGCCAATCAATTGTGTCATTGTTCGCATTTATTACGCGGCCTTTCGGACCTCGTACTCCTCCTCTGGCTCTGGCTCTGGCTCCTGCTCTGTCTGGGTCTCTGCCCGCCGTGATTTATGTGGGAGGTTGGGGGACAGACTGGTCCGGGACGGGGTCCAGCCAAGTGTTAGGCCTAGCAGAAGGAAAATTAAGAAGCGAGAAGCGAGTCTGCTGCAAATGAGATCCTGCAACAGCAGTTTTCATGCAGTTTTTGTTTCGCTCTGTTGTGGTTTTGTTTTCGCTTCTTTTTCCTGTTTTCAGCTGTAACTTTTTAACAAATGCACAAAACGAATGACAACTTCCGGTTCCGGGGAACCAGGGTGGTCTTAAAGGGTGCGGAGGAGCTGCTACGGCCGGCTGTCACTGCGAAAAATTACATGCCTTGCGCAAAAGTTTTGCCTCTTCATTATTCTAACATCAAGTCGACACGAGTTGCGGTTTTTGCAATTTTTCTTCAACTTCCCGCCCAACGTCGCCGCATTCTTCTCCAAGGAATTTGTGCACAGTCAGACAAAGTGAGAAGCGAGGCACAAAACTTCTTCTGGGGCTCCCGCTCCTTGGGCGCACATGCTGCCAACATGCGGAGACAGCGCCTCAGACACCCAGTGAACAGGAACGAGGAACGAGTTGCCAGGAGCCATAAGCCAGGAGCGGGGGAAGGGGCTGCGGAAATTATATGCTGCATTTTAATCACAATTCAAATAAACGGAATCTTTATTCCGAGCAGCAGGCGTCGCTGCTTGGCAATCCATTCAGGGCTTCTCCTACGTGGGTAAGAATGCTCCAAAGTGGAAATGAGTTAGGGAATTGGTGACAGTTACTCAGAATCCTCCACTTGGTTCATTGTTAACTCTCCCTTCGTTGGCATCCACGCTGTGTGGGCCAATGTACACAATGAACTTAACTCCTGCAAATGACCCTAATTTACAAAACCAATTTCAGGGCAGTTCATGTAGCTCTTCCGATTCATTTACAATTACCCATGTTGTTCGGATTCCCTCGCGCGTGAACATTTGCAAAAGAAATTGAGCATACAATTGTTGTGCTGCATGAAGTATATGGAGTGAATATGGTTAGTGGCTGTAAAACCCGTGGCCGAAAGACCGGTTACCGTTATCAACTGCAGTTGCCAAGAACTTCATGGTTTAATGTGCCACATGGAGGGCGCACCTTCGGCTCGATGGGAAAACTTCTGTCCGGCATTTTGTGGGTGATTTATTAATGTGTAAGCCAATGCAATTTGCCAGCCTTTGACAGATGGCGATAAGCGCCAAGTGCCGAGCCAGAGCACAAAGAGAAAAATAGAAAAGAAAATGGAAACTGTCAAAATGAGGCAAAATCAATGACAGTTGCCATTCGGAAAAGTTTGCCGGTCCCAAAAGCGGGCAAGACGGAGAGCCAAGTCGCTTCGATCGTATCGTATGCGGCAATTAGCATTTTGTGGCAATGTTGCAACAATAATTTAACGAGCCAGCAGGAGTGGTTCCAGAGAAAAGTCGCAAAAAAAGCAGAGGTCCTGCAGCGAAGGATGAGAGGAGGCAGAGAAAAAAATTATTTGATTATCCTGCGGCCATGCGCTGTCACAATTTTGCAGACTGCCCGCCGAGCGTGTCTGCTGAGTCCAGGCGGTTTCGTGGTGTCCGGGAGTCCGGATGTCCCCGGGTCCTGCTGTTCTGGTGTCCTGCAGCAGCGCCATGAAAGTGCCACATCAGCGAAAGTCTGTTAACTTCCGGTTTATGGTTGCAGCAGCTTATGGAGTCATTTCCGCCTGCTCCGCCCACTACTCCTTGGCTCCATTCATTCGGCTCAGCCGACAGGACACGGCAGCCAGCTGGCGGTGCCCGCAGACCATTCTATTAAATCATCATTCCACTCCTCCTTTGGTCGTCGCACATCCTTCGGCGCACTGCGCTTGCGGTAATTTCTTTCTCCTTTTTTTCGGTTGCAAGTGCTTCCTTTAGATTTATAATTAAGATTTGGTTAGCAGCAAATAGCGGCTCTTTTTGAATTTATGCTGCCTTGTCGGGCGGGCAACTGCAGCTGCCCGTTAAGCGGTAATTTATCATATTTTTAGCGTCAGTCCCTAACAAATTATATGGGCAGCACGATGGGGATGGTCTGAGTCGGGTGAACTTCTGAATCTGAACAGTTCTGCAATTTAATTACGCTGGAAAGATGAGAGGCTCGGTCTGAGAGCCACCTGAGTGGATCTGCAGTTTCATTAGCGAAGCACGGGTACGGGCTCTTTTTCGATATCGAAGTTTCTACTTTAGCGGATCAAGATGCGGAGCTCTGCAAATGGAAAACTGATGGGGTTTTAATGGGTTTGGCAGAAACAAAACGTGTCAAGCCTAATTCAGTAGGGTGCATATAGGAGGTCATTTCGCACAATGTTGCTGCCAGGTAGAGTTCTACTTTTTGGGCTGATCCTCTGTACAGTCTGCAGAATTCTCGAAGGTCAAAAGGTGAAATCTTGTAGGGATTATCACACTCCTTATTACTTTTCTCATCACTTCCCTACAGTCCTTGAACTTCCTGCTCTTTCGGAAGATCGACACCGACTTCAACAGGAAGTACATTTCGCTGTATGGGGCAGCGATCAGCCAGGACCACACCACCATCAACTTCACCCTGAACTTCTCCCGGAACATCACGGCGGACGTGTGGCTCAGGGCCACCATAGGGCAGAGAGTGTCTAAGAAAGGAGACACCTTCAGGGACGTCTTCACCTACAACGTGAACTTGTGCCAGGTGATGGGCAGAGCCAAGGGCAACAGCCTAATCAACTTCTGGCTCAACAACATCCTTAGGCAGTCCAATATGCCACGAAGCTGCCCTCTCATGGAGGTAATATTCAAATTCTGATCATCTTCTTGACTGAACAATCCCCTTTCCAGGGCAACTACTATATGTGCAACATTCGGTCGGAGAAGGAGACCATTCCGCGGTTCATTCGCTCGGGTAGCTTCCGTATAGACTCCAACGTCTATGTGAGGGACTGGAACAACGTCAACTTGACAGACACAATCTTCTACGTCGACATCAAAATGAAGTGAATGGGATCCGGTATCGCGAGGAAGAGGTTCGCTGGAAGGCAGCCTAACTGGTCACATTAAAAAGCAATGAATAATTGAAGAGCTCAAATCTCCACTGGCTAACACAGTTTCTCACTTCCAATCGAGTAAATCGTTGCACGTGCATTTCGCATAAATAAATTAATGAGTCCTCCAACAAGGACACGGATACGGCCACCGACACGGACACGGATTTGAGCCCGGAACGTGGCTGGCAGCGCTGCAAGCTGCGATTTATACGAGTGCGCAATCTAAGCGCAAAATAATTTAAACACTGTCAATAATAGTTTGGGGACAAAGTATTTTTCCATCGAGAAGTTCGCCGTCGACTCCCCGATTGGTCCTTGGTCCAGCTCCTCTCGACACGTTCGCACGCGCTCCCAAGGATGCCATGGGTTCTTTTTTTCGTCGTACTTGCCATCAATTGCACTTCCGGAGCTGGAGTGAGAGGCAGAGAACAATTTCTTGTATTTTGTCGGAGCCCGAGAAAGAACAAACGCAAGACCAGTGCAGCCGGAGCTGCTTTGAAACAAATGCAGGGAGCAGCCAGAGGAGCTGGGGTCAGGAGCGGATAACTGAAGAAGTGGCGTCGTGTACTCAAGGAAATTGCCATCATTATACTTGTCGCATTTGCTGTGCTTTGTGTTAAATAACGTTTAATGTTTGTTTGCCATGAAATTGATTTACAAAGGGGAATCCCATCGACCTCCATCTCTATCCAATTCGACTTATGGGCTTTGCCCAAGCCCAGGCGGGTTTCCTATAAATTAAATCATCTACGAGCCATTCTTTGGCTCCTTTCAAAGGCCTCCAATTACATGGCTGGATGGGCGTTTTAACTAATTAGGCAAAGCTTACCTGACTTTCACTCGTTCTCTGGCCCACACTCATTAGTCATCAGACATGCCTGCCGGCGGTGTCAGGACCAGGATTCGGGGCGTGAAGTATATCAGGGGGGATTCTCTGTAGTGAGGTGGCAATCATCACCACGCAACCTATAATTATACCAGCGGGACTCCCAGCAAATTGGCGAGCATGGGGGCCTGGGGCAAATCATTTGGGATGTGCCACTACCACTGGACCTCCGAGGAAGAACTCGGAAGTGAGATCGCGGGAAGGCATTGGGTGGCAATTAGGAAGCAATAAAGTTAAGCGCTTCCAGCGCCAAGTCACATGTTATGCAGACCGTTGTCAGACAATGGGTAATGCGTCCTTTTTCCGTTCTCTTTCCAATTTCTTTTGCTGCATGCGACATCTGCGAGGCCAGCTTGATACTAAGGACATGGGATGCTCCAGTGTCTGTATCGTCTCCTCCTGCTGCATCGACAATCAACGCAAGCGTAACGCCGTGCAACATGTTGCAGCCTTGTTCGGGATATTATTATTTCTCGCCATAAAATTGCTGCTATCATCCGTTGCAGACGGTCCCAGAACAAGGAAAAAAAAACAGAAACAGAATCAGAAACGGTGACGATTCGATTATCGCTGCGTGAGGGCGGAAGTTGTTAACATCATCGTTGCATCCAGCGCACATCCTCGAAAAATCCCAGCTGCTAACTTATATATAATCAATGTAAATCTGCTTTAAGGAAAACATAATAATAATTTCATAAATCAAACATCAGGAGATTGCATACCTATATCTCAAAGAATACTCATTAACAATAGACACTGCATTCCTTACTTTTTGGTGTATTTATTTCGAAATTCCAAGTTTCGTAAATTATCTGGTAATGCTTTATATTTGCTATACTTTATTATACTTTATACTTTATTAAAAGTATTTACAAAATGAGGCATCACAGTACGAATATTTGCAGACATATAGCCTTACCCATGATGCAATAGTCTAGTTAGAAAGGATCGTGTCAATGGTCAGACTCAATGTTTCTTCGAAGGACTTCGTCCCGTATTTGCCATAGAAGAAAGAAAGTTTGCCGCGATATTCACCTGGGATGAGGAACTTGTGGGTCATGGAACTCCCCATCCGCCAGTTGTGCATGTAATAGTGACCCACCGTCACTGGGCAGTTGTACATAAAGTTGCTGTTCTTGCTCATATCCTTGAACCAGCTCTTAAACAGGGTGTTCTTGACACTCGATGTAATCGCACAGACATCGGTCTTCTGGTTGAACACGGACTGGAAGTTCTTGGCATTGGCTAGGCGCAGTAGAATGTCCACGTGAGCCTTGAAGCCCCTCTGAATGGGTCTGTTCAGATGCATGTCCATGTTCATCAAATTATTAACGATAGTCATGGAGAAGTTTTTAAAATACTTCGGGTTGAAGGAGCAATTTCCGGTAAGGAACTTTACGCTACGCTCCTGAAAGACGGGTTCCTCTAAAAATATTCCATGGTGGACAGAAAGTGACTTACCCCCGCGACGAGATCGATGTGAAAAGACGATTGAACGAGAACGGAGCAAACAAGCAATTTCCACATTTCCATACCCACTATGAAACTTCAATGACTGCTCTCGAAATCAATTACAAATTACGACTACGAGCGGTGTATATTTATTTCCAACCCATTACCCATCGGATTCAGATTCGGCATCAGATATGTATGACAGCATCGGCCGTGCAACTCATTATGAAATCCTCGTCTTTGCCCTTGTACTTCCCAAAAAAGTTGTAAGTCTCCAATCGGTACGATCCGCTCGTTATGAACGGCGGCACCAAGCCATCCCCGAACTGCCAGCCCCTCAAGTAGTAGTGGCCAGTACTCAGTGGACACTGGCGGAGGAAGTTGCCGTACTTGAGCAGGTTCTTGTACCACTTCTTGAACAAATTGATCTTGGCCGCGTTCACGATATTGCATACGTCGATATTGGTAGAGAACAGGCTCTGAAAGCTCTTCGAGTTCCCCACGCGTGTCTTAAAGTCCAGTCTGGCCCTCCAGCCTCTGCTCAGGGGCTTCCGCAGGTACATGTCCAGGAAGACCTGGTCGTTGCGAATGGTGAATGTGAAGTTTTCGAAATAGTCCCTGTTGAACCGGCTTTCTCCGGCGATGAACTTGATGTTGCGATCCTAAGGGAGTCAGGTCAGGGTTCAGACTGCCACCCGATACACAGACTACATACCGCCCTGACGGAAAAGATAACTATGGCCAGGCACAAGGGTATCTCCAACCCCACTAGCTGTAAGATCCATTTAGGCCGAGCCATCTCTGTTCACAAAAAAAACAGAACTGATTCAATGAATGACTTAGCTTGGGCAAAATATATTAATTATCCAGTGTATTGGAGCCTGACTATCCGTTCATCACAATAACCTCTCCCAGCCCTAGCTCAACACGGCCTCCACGCTGCACTCTAATAGACGGTTATTCAGCTGCTTCTTGAACCTGCCATAGAAGAACGATCCGCCGATCCGGTAGTCCCCTACATAGAGAAAGGAAGGCACATAGTTCGCATCCAGGGTCCAGCCGTGCATGTAGTAGTAACCTTCCCTAATTGGACAGCTCGTGGCGAAGTTTCCCACCTTCAGCATGGACGTGAACCATCGCCGATAGATCGACTCCTGAGAGCCCTTGATCAGGGCGCAGTAGTTCATGTCGTGCTGGTAGACACTCTGGTAGGGCTTGCCCTTGGAAAGCCGAAACTCGAAGCTGAGGTGGGCCTTCAGCCCCTGCCGCAAAGTGGTGACTAGAATCATGTCCATCATCACTTTGGTTTTTAGGATTTGGATAGTAAAGTTGGAGAAGGTAGATTTGTTGTAAGTGCAGTCTCCGGCCTTGAAAGTCATTCTGGGGGCCTAATTAGCTCATTCTCAACATATTCTTTGTAAAGGAACTCAACCACTTACCACGCTTTGCTCGATGACAATAGTCATAATAATCCAGCCCAGCACAATTGCCACAAGTTGCCCGTGAAACATCCCGGGATGATGTCAACTCTAACATTGCCACAAACAAGTGATTTTGAATATTGCAATTAGAGCCATTTAATGGGCTTGTTGTTCGACTCAAGCTGCGTGATGGATTGATTAATCGGACAAACAGTTGAATGACATAATTACACTCGTACAAATCAGGCTGAACTTGTGCCTATTTGTTACGCATTGTTGCCTCCACAATGCACTGGACAAGGAACTGCTGCTTCTTGGTGCGGTACTTCCCATAGTAAACCAATGCCCTGAGGCGGTAGTCGCCACTCAGCAGATAGGAGGGCACCAGACCCATATCCACGTGCCAGCCTTTCAAGTAGTAGTGACCGGCCGGAACGGGGCAGTTCTCCATGAAGTTGCTATTCTTCACTACACTCTTAACCCAGCGTCGGAAGAGCGAGTCCTTGAGAGTCGTCAGGAGCTCGCAGTAGTCGGTGTCGGTCTGGACTAGGCTCTGGAAGGTCTTGGCATTGCTGAGACGCAGCTGTACGTCGACGTGTCCTCGAAATCCCGCCTTCAGGGCCTGAATCAATTCTATGTCCGCGAAGATCGAACTGTTCATGGCTGTGACGTTCAGGGTGCTGAAGAACTTTGAGTTCTTATCGCAATGAATGCGAGTTAGACTCACCGCACTGGGCTGAAGGTGACGGAAACTATTATACCTTAGAGTATCTTATTTCTATCATAGATATGTGCGTACCTCTGCCAGCGGAAAAAGTGCGCCGATGAGTATAAAAGCTACTTTCAACATGGATACTTTTTCAATCTGAGCTCGGAGTGCAATGGCAGTCTATCCCAATGGTGATCTAGTTATTCAAATGCACACGAGTGAGACCCGCTAATTGGATTTAAATTGCTTCGAAATTGCGTATTAGGAATCGCATATTTTTAGAATACGCTTCTTGATTTCGCTTTATTTTTAAGCCAGAGTTAGATATACCATACTAGCTATCGGCTTTCAACAGAGCGTATACTTCTATGTCGAGGAAGAAGTCCTCCTGCTTTGACTTGAGCTTGCCATAGAAGAAGTGGGCACTGATGCAGTAGTCGCCAGGAAGCAAATAGTGAGGAACCAACTGGGAGTCCAGCTTCCAGTCTCGCAGAAAGTAGTTACCCGCCGGCACGGGGCAGTTGACCATGAAGTTTCCGTGCTTCAGCATGCTGTCGAACCAGCTCTTGAAGAGGTTGCCTCTCACCGGGGAGATCACGCTGCAGGTGTCCAGAATGTGGGCGAAGAGCCGTTGGTAGCTCCTCCCCTTGTCAAGGGTGATTTGGGTATCGATGAGGACCTTGAGGCCTCGGTGGATCGTCTTGGAGGTTATCATATCCATGAACAATGTGTTGTTCTTAATTTCAAGGGTGAAATTTTCGAAATGGTTCCTACTGAACTTGCATTTTCCCGTCTGGAAAATAAGTGATAGCTTGTCAGCAGAAAAATTGGTATTTTAGAAAGTTTTTGAAGAGCTTATGTAATAAATACTCACTGAATTTGTGGTCTCTAACTGGTAGAAGAAGAGCAGGGAGGCTGTAACAAATACTTTCAACATTTCCATGCCGATGCTGAGCGTGTAATGAGGTTTGAAAATCACTGTCATCCAGCCGCCGACCAGACTAAACTAATTTTAATTGATGGCCACGTGTATTGTTATAGAGATCACTGATCAGCTACTTTATTTCAACTACAAAGTCACATGCCACTATGAAGTCCTTGATTCTATCGTTGTTCCTCAACTGGTTCATGTTGAACTTCACTCGGTACTTGCCTTGGACCAAAAACTTTGGTAAGAAGAGTGTGTTATAGTTGTAGTCCTTCAGGTAGTAGTAGTTCGGCTCTACAGGGCAGTACTTTTTGAAGTTCCCGGCTTCGAAGAAGGTCGCAAACCATCCCTTGAAGATGTTGTACCTTCTCCGTGCCAGCAGATTGCACATGTCCAGAGAGTATTGGAAGATTCTCTGGAACTTGTTTGAGTTTTGCAAGCTTAGGAGGAACTGGATGTCCATTGTTACGCCCTGAACCAAGCCCCTAAGAAGGTAGAGATCCAAATTGATCCGCGAATTTTTCGCAATCAGCGTTACATTATAAAGATAGCTTCGATTGAAGTTCAAGCATTGAGTCTCCAGCATTAGGATCTTGGCCATCTTAAAGACATGAAAACTGTACTAACCTAAAGGTTGAGTTAGATCGAAGTGTACTTACCACGGGAGTGGGCATGGTAATGAGGCACACGACAGTCAACAAAACACTTATTGACATTTTTAAAACTGCGACTTGGGCAGAGTCAAATATTTACTAAGGCTCAGATCGAAAATATGGGCATTTAAATGTTAGCTATTTGACAAGACCACTTAACTTGATTGGCGAAAAACATTTTTAAACGGCCGTTTAAAAACGTTTATTTCGTTTATTGTATTCGGCATATTATATTTTTAATGAATACAAAGTGGATCTGGAATAACTCGACAGCTCAAATGTGTTATCGGTATTAGATTATACAGACATTTTCATGATATTTTAGATTACTGTTTGGGGAAAGAACCGACTTGATAGGATCATGTTAATGACAGTTGCTCACCAGTGCGTTGAAGCCCAAATAATAAATAACGAGATCGAGAGGCATTTGGCTTTGGGCATTACCTATTTAGGTAAACCAAACTCAATTTATAATTAGTTTCGTTCAGTAGGTGTATCAAAATGAGTTCACAAACATTTTACCAAATAATAATTTTACTGTGGATGCTGTTGGTGCAGAAGTCACTGGCCATTGTGGGTGATCTATCTGTTTACTGTTAGTTCTTTTTATAACAAAAGTCAAATCGTAGAAAACACTGGATGTACTGAGTCATAGATGCCACCAAAATGCTATGTACATCGACTTCTTCAACCTGTCCATCATTGATAGCCACATTTCTGTTGAAATGCAGACGAAAGTCAAGGTCCCAGCTGGAGTGAAGGTTCATATTACTCTGGAAAGGGGTCTCAGCAGCTCTGGGGACTACCATGCGTTCTTCAAGTACGACATTGACTACTGCAGAGTGATCGCTCTTAATCGAAACAACTTATTCAGGCGATGGTTTCTAAGTTTGAGTAAGCACGGACATGTTCCCAATAGCTGCCCTTGGCCTGTTGGCCAGTATAATCTCAGAGGCTGGCAGTTGACTGATGATATGATACCCAAATTCGTCGTCACAGGCCATTACAAAACTAAAGTTATCGCCTACCTGGGGAACATTGGCTCCGAGTCTTTTGAACTTTTGATCGAGTGTGATCTCATTTCGAAAATGATTTAGTAAAACATGAATAAGAAAGGGTTATATCAATGTAAAGGAATGATTGATTGACTAAAATAAATACAAAAAAACTATTCAAAAGTCATAAAAAGTTTGAAGTGAATATAATTTAAAATGTTTACTTAAAGCTCTTTCTTCATTGCCCCAAAACTTTAAGAAAATTATATTCTTGTATTTAAGGAATAGTTCGTAAAAGGTTAAAGGAAGAGTTTCCGGCTCCATAAAGAAAACATTAATCACGCTTAACACCTCGTACTTAATGTTCAGTTTTACAAATACACCTTTTTTGTTAATAGCTTTATACCCAATATTTGTCAAGTCGGGATGTAATTTAACAACTTATAAGAAATTCGAGTTATAAAGAGAGTTACATGGGCAGTGAGATATCCGCTAGTTGAGATATATTTCCGGATTCCAGGTTTAATGGATATATATTTGTATACAATGAAGTTATATAATACAATGATGTTTTTTGCTGCTAGCCCTATGGAGTTAATAGGGTATTAGGGTATCTGCTAATCGCAATACTCGATTACAGCGATCCATCTTGTTGAAAATGGCATATGGCTTCAGTCCATTTTTTTTTCAAGTAAAAACCTTTCCAGATAATAGTTGACAATAATTTTAGTTTGAGTCTCAGCTTACTATACTTTACCTAGTTATCAAAAATAGTTTCTAATTGTCAAAGTCAGTCCTGATTATTAAAAATAAGAGGAAAGCCGTTTAATCAAAGCGGAAAGCGAATGTATTTATAAGAGCTTATCAGAACTTAATTTAACCTTAATAAATACCGAAATCAAGTTCAATTCGTTCCTGATCTTTTACGACAGTTCTTCATTAAAATAAGATCTCGAGCAACAATGTGCTGATGTTGAACGTAAATAAATTTCAAAACTTGTTTTTATTCTGGCTGTGTTAAGTTCATTTAACTTAACCTGGAATGCAGACAAGAATCGTTATCTTGGTAACACATCTTAAATTTCTTGTTTTAAACACTGGCGTATTCTATCTAAGCATAAAGCCGTTTCAGCCGTTTTCCATCCGTTTCTCAGGCTATGAACACACAGTCTTATTCTTCCGCAAGTATTCAACAAGGCAGTCAGTCATTTCGTGGCGCTCATCCTAGATGCAGTCAACGTGTCTATGTTTACCCAGCGGAGAGCCCAGCCCCGAGTCTCCGATCCCCTGTTCCCTCGATGCCGCATTTATGTGCACGAACCACTGCAGAAAACAATTGCACGTAATTCTGCTTACGCCGTTACATTGCAACAACGCAGGCGAAAAAAGCGAATAAAAAAGCGACCTGCCTAGCCATTTGTTGGCATTTTCTGTGTTTTTTTCCGAATTTTTCCCCTACCCTCAGTTGTCCTGCGGTTGCGACCGTCTGATGGCCAGACGGAGTGACAGACCGACAGATGGATGGGAAGTCCGCCGGAGGGACGGTGTGGGTTGTCAGACGTCGACCTATGCGCTTAATCAGAATCAGAATCGGGTCTGTCGAATCTAAGGCGCCATTTACCATTGTCTGGGCTGGGGACTGTGCCTATTTCCTAGTACTGTTCGTGGTCCTGGTGTTGGCCAAATAAATGTCTTGCCTTCGCTCTTCTGCACTCCTTTTGTTTTCTGTTTGTCCCTCGTTCTGCTTTCACTCCGTGACTGACTGCCTTTCCCCATTTCCGCCTGCATATTGCATTTATTTACATAGGCCCGGCCTGACTTTTGATTTTAAGCTCTTTGGCTCTTCTAACTCAATTCCCTCTCAGGGCTTTAGTCCTTGCAGCTGTCATGGCGCCAGGTACCAGTGTTTGTGCGGCTGAGACTGTGACTGTGAATGTGGTTGTGGCGCAGCCTTATGTATTTACGGATGCATTTACGTGCTCTGCCTCCTGCGGGCTGTGCAAATAGGACACTTGCCCATTCTGTAGGTCGCCAGGATGCAGACTCGGGCCCATGACCATCGTCATCCCCTCAGCTTTATGTGTGACTTTTGTTTCTTGAGCTATCAGGATTATGTGGGCTGCCTTAAGAGGAGCATGTTCTTTAATGCCTACAATATACTCGGTAGATTTACCCTAATGACATGCTTTCGGTGACTGCTCATTACTACGAGTTGTGAGAAGGATTCTATGGAACTGAAACTATTCAAGTCGTGAGAAATTTGGCCTGACTTTTCAATTGCGGGCCATTCATGGCACTCTAAGCTCAGAGGTTAAGCCATGTTATGTTATATATTACAGATCTTCTTAGAACAATGTATATAGTATATACCACTGGAAAAATCTCGAACAAGACGGTTCGCATTGTTCTTGAGAGTCCTGGCATATGACTCTTTAGCTGCCATTATTCCTTGGTGCGACCTGATTGCCCTCAGATCCCCGTTCGAGACACAAAAACTATAGAAAATGCCTCGTCAACGATTTCAACCACATTGCTCTGATTTGGCCCGACAACAAAGTCTCCATCTTTTTCCCTGGCGTTCCTTCTCCGTGCTGCCACTCCAATTGAAAACGGCAATCAAAAGTGCAGCGGAGGAAGACAATTTTCACACTTGGCATGAAAGAAATATATTTTGCTTGGCAAATATGCTGACCTGACCCCTCAGAGCAAACAAGCTGGCAGTGCAGTGGCACTCGTGCGAGTCGGTCGGAGGAAAACGTCATCATAAATGGCCAGGAAAGGACTCTGAAGACGGCAGGAGCGGCAATCAGAGGCGCCTGGAAATATGCAATGCGAAAAATCAACACAGCACAACGATGAGAACGACCCCAATTACCCTCGTTTTGCAGTGTGAATGGGAAAGGAGTGAAAAGCAGGAAAAATCCCTGCATATTTACAGGCGTTGGCATGAAAATTTGTCACCTTGCTGAGCAAACACCTCCGAAACCGAATGCACTGGCTATGTGTCGGTGTGAGTGTGAGTGTGGGCCCTCGTGTAATTGAGCCTACAGATATGCAACCAACGAGTATCCCAGTAATCGACACTTGGGCGCGGCAAACAGGACTCCGAACCCCCTTCGATTTCCCTGCGCCGCGTTTGCGCCTACCAGCATGCACTTGTAGGGGCAAGAGTGCAGCGCCTGCCTGGAAATGTGCAACGTCCTGATTGGTTGCTCCCGGCCACGCTCATAAAGTTTTCAGGGGCTACTCGGATTGGTCCGCGGACCAAATTAAGGGCAGCTCTCGGTGCGCATGGGCGGCGAGAGAGTGAAACGGATGTGCTCAGCAAATAGAATGAGCGCCCCACGGTATGCAATGGTATTTTCTTTTTTGCTTGCTGCTTCAAGGGTTGTGTGTGTGCGTGCCTGGTGATTAAAGCTTCGTGCGTGGTGAAAATGTACGGGGATTCACTCTCGAGTGGTGGTGGTTCCACACTCAGGCACATGTGTGAGTGTACTCGTATGTGTGAACTAATTGCATTGGAATGTTTTTGTCTCGCGCCTCGTTATTGTTATTGTTGTTATTGTTACTGCATGTCTGTGTTTGCATTCGGGTTTCGAGTGTTTGGCATTGATTGCATTTACGATTTGTATCATTGGGGCATCATGAATTACTTGATTATTTGATCTAAAAGGCCTAGAAATAGGCCTATTGATCAGATATTTCTCCTAATTACAATTATATATATATAATATATATATGTCATATCTGAGTTACTTTACTAGTTTGATTAGCATCATTGTGACACTTAAGTTCAATTGAACAAGTTTCGCCTTCGTTTGTATGTTTCAACCCCCAGTAATACCCTTGGGCAAAGCTTTTGTGTAGACTTCAGTATCCGTCCCTCTCTTGTACTGACACTTTCTCGCTTGACTCCATATCGCCCTCTCATGTTACTTGCGAGATGTCTACACAAAGTGGAGTCGAATTTGCCGCGAATTGGCAAAAATGAAAGCTTTTGTGCATTGGGAACAAATCTCCTTAAGTTAAGGAAACAAATATTGAAGCCATTGACTACTTTCAGGTAAAGTTAGAATTTCCTTTCTGGAATTCAAAATATTTACTATCTACTGGTCCCTTGTACATTACTCATTTTATTACTAAGAAGCCTGTGCTTTACTAATTTAAAGAACCGAAGACCTAAAATCTGTCATTGTAGAGTTGTATATGTTAAAGAATATTTCGTAGCCACTTGTACATTTTTTGCGTGAAAACGAAATTAATTTGTTAAGCCGGTGTAAGTAAATATTCTTTATTAGCTGGACCAATTACTAGTATCTCAATTTATATAAATAAAATCAATAAGTAAATAAATTTATTCAGTAAAGCAGGGTTTATATTATTTTTAGTATTTTATTTATTAAGCTGCCTTTTTGGTATTTTTGAAAGCGAAAGATAAGGCATTGGCACTCTTAATTAATTAACTAACTTAAAAGCTTACTTCCAATTTACAAAACAATCCGACAAGCTAAACCTTGCAATAAATAATTTTCAATTTTACAGCTATTGCCGAAAGAGTGGTCACATTTCTAGGGTGTTAAGTAATTAGGTTTTTTTAATAGATTTTTTTTTAATTTTAGATGGTTGAGTTTGGCGAAAACTCCCATTGGCCACAGTAAGTGTGATGGGTGTACTTTTTTACTAAGCCAAATTTTATATCCGAACTGTAGATGGGTAACAAAAAGATTCCGTAACCTTCTATATTATCCATTTTTTTAAATCTCGGAAGTATTACCAAGTTTAGTTTCTTACTAAATTTCAAAGCCATTTCATTATGACCAAGAAGAAACGCTGCAAACGAGTGCCGCGACTATAAGACACCCGTTACCGTTTTACACAATTTTAAAATATTCATTTTGCTAGTGAAAATTCACAAAGCGCCACCTATTGTCAGATATAGAATGTTGAGTAACCTACACTTTTTCACAAATATCGAAATAGTATTTCGATTTTAAAAATCTTTGGTAAATCGATAGATGTTGACAAAAATATGTTATGCAAGGTCAAACGAAGGCATCTCAAAAATATAAATTCCTAAGCGGAACTTCCTAGCTCTTATAGTTCCCGAGATTTTCTTATTTTTGGTTTTCCGGGCGTTAGATGGGGAAAACCTTTCGCATTGGGTTCATTATAAAAAACTACATACCTTATCTGCTTTTCTACAAAAAAAAACCGATAACTGTCTATCGAGCTTGGTGGGCGTAAAAGTGGGTGTGGCCGGATAATGGTAGCATCATAAGATGCGCTGGCATCTCAAGATTAAACAAACTTAAATTTACCTTTCTAGCTCTAATAGTTCCTGAGATTTTAGCGATTTTAGTTTTTCGTGATTTGTGGTCGTTAGAGTGGAAATGAACTGGGCGTGGCAATGAACAATGAACAATGAAAATGAACTTGCGCTGCTTAGGGACCTCAATAACCTCAACTTTGTATCTCTTATAGTTCCTAAGACCTCAGCGTTCATACGGACGGACGGACAGGGCTTAATCGACTTTGCTATTGATACTGATCAAGAATATATATTCTTTAAAGTATACATCGAAAAGAGGTCAAATGCATGGTTATATCCTGCTGGTTTATAGAATTTTTTACTAGATTTTATTTTTTCTTTTAATTTCTTAATTTTTATCTCAGTGTACTTTGGAAAAGCTCCCAGTTAATGTTTGAGCTTGAAACTTACTGCGGAGAGTGTGTAGAGTTTCGAGAGGGGGCTGTACTTGTTGCCAGTGTTCTTGTTCGAGGCGAATTGGAGAGCCAACGTGTTCGATGGTGAGTTACCTCAAACGAAATGCTGTTGCATACCGTGCCATGAGGAAATATTCGACTTGAAGGAAAATTCAAACTGCTTAGTTAAATGGCAAATAAAAATAGAACACTCCATAGAGATTTTTTTGCAAATATTTTTTTGTCGATGCAACTTCAGTTTTATCTCCGTATTACTGGATAATGGCCCTTCATCGGCTGGCTGCAATCGTCGTTTTTGCCGAAATTGTAGATGTTGCTGTTGCAGCTGGCGTTACTACTTCGCAGCTCAGTTGGCTCCTTATTTGCCGGTTGGCAGTTCGTAAAGGTCCTCGTGCGAACTCGTCGTCAGTGGCTTCGCCTCGTCGTCGGCTGCCCCAAGGACTCGCGCAGTTGGATAGGTTCGTGTTCGTTGCACAATTCGCAGGCGAAGGCGAGCTTACGCTTTTTCGGAATGCGTTAAGGATCAGTTTTGCGCGAATTACGGTCATGAAAGGTTGCTAACGACAAGGAGCCGGCGTCCGAAGCAAATATTTTCCCAAAAACATTTCCCAGAGTCTTCCTTTCTGTGCGTGTGTGTACGGTCCGTGACTTTGATTTCCACTTATCAGCTCGAAGGAGCCATGTAAACATATCGCCTCTAGCACTGACCTAGGTCAGGAAACTTTGAGAACGTAACTGACCTAAGTCAAACTCGATATAACGACACCAGGACTTGGACAATATCAATAACGAATAAGAAACCTTTCCGTATTCATAGAAATAGAAGTAATTATTTTATAACGCTTGTGACGACCCCGACTAGCTTAGGAACCCGTTAATGTGCTAATATAGTTCTTAGACCTCGCATTTCCTTTCTTGGCTTGATCGCTTGATCGCAAGCAAGCGGAAAAATACCCAAGAACTCGCTCGCTTAAACTATAAATGGTTGTGAAATGTAGTAGGGCAGTTATCGAAATGCTTAATTATAACCTTGACTAAACCCTAGTTGACTATACCCTACTTACTTGTGCTTTCTGCAGCATTTTCTTAGATTAGCCAAGCAGTACACGAAAAAACTGAAACTTCGGGAAAAGACTGTAGTTGCATTGCCAGTACTTACATACTGATAGTGAGCAGTGAAAAAAGAAGAAAGAGTTTCCGAGTTGTAAACGGAAAAAGTGCGATTTAGAAACATACCTAATAAAGTTGTTATAAGTGTTGGAAAATGTGAAAATCCAAAATATCGATTTAAATAGAGTGCCAGTCTCGACTTCGAAAACTAACTAAATGGTAAGCCAAAAGATCTTCTTATATTCTAAATTCATTAGTTGGGTAAAAAAAAAAAACATAAAGCGATCTGGTATCTATTTCGCAAATGCAGGCAGCAGTCGAAGAACTAAATTGGAGAGTTTACTGTCATGAAAAGATCGAATAATTTGTGTTCGAGGTCCACATAAAAGTAAAAGCAATTAATGGCAGCGAAGTCTTAGGATTTTCAAGCATATTAAGATTGTGTAAGGTTAGATTCTGTTTTCACGTCTGAGGAGTTTTCCTTAAAAGCTTAACTTGATCCAATGGGTAATTTAATATTGCTGTGCGGTAATTTATCATATTTACCATAAAGCAAAGCAACAAATCTCTTTTGAATAATTCATGTGGTGTAATTGTTGTATAATAGATAGATATAATCTGGTGCGGAGGAGTATAAAATATATTTTTCGTATTTTCCTAACCAGCAATTTGATCTTCCTTTCCCCTCCTCTTGGGAATTAATAATTTGTATTAAGAAAATACCGCGCAAAAGACATTGCTACTGAATGGTTTTAATAGGTAATATTAGGGCTTGTTAAGAGCCAAGCTATTGACGGGTTGCCCTTATATGAAGCTGTACGTGACTGTAAAAACAGATGACCAGCACTTGAAACTGCAACAATTGTCTTTTAGACTGGCTGTTCGCCGAGTCGCCTGGGCTTAAACCACTATTGATTTTCTTGCCGCCTATTCGACACTTCAGATTCAATTAAAATTTTTGGACTAAAATTGCTCTTTGCCAGTTGGTCAAGTGCAGCATCGGCAGATTTTCGTAGTCGAGGGGAGGGGTGGCAAAGGAGCTTGCGACAGTTGCTAAACAAACGCCAATCCAAGCAATTTCAGAGTTGACTGCATCGTAATGGGCGGCCGAGGAGGAGGAGCCGTGCATTGCCGGGAAGTGATTTTTGCAGTAATCCGAGGCCAAATCCGAATCCGTTTGTGTGAAGTGAGTTGCATAAATGTGCAAGCTGTGCAAGCTGTTCAAGTGATTTCAAGTGAAAGACTCTGAATGCGGCGTTGTCTGGCTTCGCCTGGGGATTCTGGTCCTTCATGGCAGTCGGCTTGTATTATTTTGTTGCATACTTTGCTGCGTCATTAAACCAATTGATGAACCTGGCCCAAAGTGATGGATGGATAAAGGGATGGAGACAAACGTGTTTATTACGCTTAGCGTGCGTTAGGCAGAAAATAAAACCAGGATCCATACCAGCTAAAGTCCTCTCAAGTGGCTCTTTGATTAGGCTGCTAAACATGTAATAAAAACGTATAGTATTGGCGCCGGTTAAAGGCTTTAAGCGTTCTTTAAAATTGATTTCAAAGTCGAAATCCCAGTGATATTTAAACATTGCTCTGATGGAGGGTGCATGTCGGTGGGGCTGGGCCGAAGTCAAAACATTTCATTAAAGGCAGCAGCGAACTCTGTGAAAAAGTACACAAAAGCCGCTGGAAACAAAATGTTGACAAAAAGCGTAAAACACACAACTCAATAGAGCACAAAATGAAAATGAAAATGAAAATGACGCAACATGCAAAGAGCAGAAACAAAACAAAGCACTGCAACACTCTCGGAAAAAATGTAACCAAACCGACTGACCAGCGGACTGAATCCTGACTGACGGACCATACAAATAAATACGCAGTCAAAGGCAATCAACGTCAGCCAGCAAGGCAGCTCGAAGCGAGGAGCGAGGAGCGAGGAGCGAGGAGCACGGAGTTCCCCCTGACAACTACCGATATTTGATTTGAAAACATTCCCAAATTCTGCCTTCTATTTTGAATGCTCGTCATCGGCATCGTCATCAGCCGCATTTGGCTCCAAAGATCGCTGCAAATAAATAAATGGCAGCCATTGGCACAACAATTGCAATCCGACGCAGGCATTTCCGTACTTTTGCAGCTCTTTTTCGGCCATTTATTGTTGCCGCTTTGTCACTTGACGTTTTAATTGGAAGCCAAATTTTCATTTCAAATATAGTGGAAGGGCTTATACCTATTAAATAACATCACAAACGTCTGTAGCCTTAAATTTGTTGGATACCAGAAATTATGGAAATTATGTTAGAACCAGAAACTTATAATTAACAATCAATTTCTAATAGAGTAAATGGTTTTACTGCTCTTCAGAAACTATGAAAGGTTAGAGAAGCGCCGATTCTATGTTTCAGCTGTTCATCAATATATAAGATATATCATAAGAAAAGCACTAAACCTTAGAACTTCGAAGTCATATTTGGGCTTCATTTTTTTATAATCTTAACAAAATGTCGAAAAGTTTTAAATTGATATGTTACTTTTAAGATAGATAGTAAATGTGATTTAAAATCGGTTTTATTTAATTGACTTACATAAACAAACCATTTTTAAGGCGGTCAAACCAAATCGACAGATTTATATGCCTATTTATTAATAACTCTATAATATTTTAAAGGACTTCAGTTATAGTAAGTTCGCTAGAGAATAGTTCTAAGGCTCTGTTACGGCAATGTATTGGTACAGTATTATGGTGATTTTGTATATCTGAATCGCGCCCAATGAGGTCTGCAAGAGTTAAGACCTAGATGGCGCTTTATTAAGTGAAAATGGTGGAGTTGCCTAGGCACACAGCATCAGAGATAAATTAGGGGTATACTTTTAGGGTCCGCTTTTAATGCGGTATATTTTGACAGAAATACAAGCCCTGAGTTAATATGTGATTTCGATCTGTTTTGCAGATTATGTTTGGAAACTGTCTTAAACGCAGTCGAGAATACATCATTAATTTCAGATAAAGGTGGACTTGCTTACACTATTCCTTTTTTTGTTATAATTTATTTTTAACAGTCACCTTCCTTATATTAATCTTATAAAGGGTGTTTTTTAGAGATATAGAACTTTAAGTTGGAATTATTGTTCAAGATTTTTTTAAATACACTCAAATAAAAATGGAATTTAAAATGAGGCACCTTATTTTGGTTTGAGTATAAATGAGCAACAATAAATCGTTCTTGAAATCTTAATCTGCCTTTCAGCCTTACTAAAATAGATCACAAAGATCTTGTGTCAAGAAATATAACGTTCTCCCAAAATGATTCCTGCTTATGTAAGCAAGCTCTTTTGTGATTTCCAAACGCATTGTTTTTATAATCAGAAATCAATGGTGTTTTACGAGCAACTCTACCATGTATACCAGCATTGTGCGGGGTGTTCCGGATGGGTTTTAAGAATTGTTGTAGATGTTGTTCTGGGATTTTGTAATGCTATATTTACAACTTTATGCTCCTTCCGTGGTGTCAATATCTGGGGCCTTCAAGCTTTTTTTCATAATAGTTTTTCAAAAATCTAGAAGCGCAGCGAAACTAACTAAAAAACTTTGAGTATAGTACACCGAAGGTTGCTCCGAAGTACAGTTCAAGAAAGAATCGCGGATTACCGTTGAATTCAGAAATAGAAGTCAAGAATAAGTACGACTAATTTGCCTTTTTTGTGTTATTAAGGAAATTATCTAGTATTTAAGTTAAAACTTGTCAATTCTATACCTAAAATATATGCTCGAAATGTATATCTTTCATTTAAGATATTACATTTTAATTTCCGTTGCATATTTCTCGAGATATTAAAGAAAAGAACTTGCCACTCTTGGGTGTACGAATTAATTTTGTGCCAGTGCCGACTGTATGCCGTATAAAAATTTCAACATATTTAACGAATAGTTTTTTCAGTAAACTCACGAAATTTAATAGATTTTGGTAAAATTTTACCCTTAACCTCAGTAAATATTACGATTGGAGTTCAGTTACACCTAATTTTGTTTTCAAATTAAGGATAATCGGTTAAGAATAGAATGTTAATAGTATACAACTTTTTGATTCAAAATGAGCTAATTCTGAACTTTTTAAGACCTGATGTACTGAGCCAAAAAAAGGTTTGCTTTTATGCTTTTATACGCTTAAATAATTTCAAAGAATCACATATATATATAATTCTGTTTAAATTTTACTTAGCTGCCTACATAAAACGTCCTTCGAAGTGTTTATTCGTTCGAATTAATATTCTGTTTTATAACAAACTTATGTAGGTTTAGAAATACGTAAATAACTTTGACGTATGCCATACTTAGTTTTTGAATTTTTTGGTTAAAGTTTTAAGTTTTTTAAATTCTGCAAAAGTGTTCAATTTTTGTAAACTTTTTGTTTTGTAAATTTTGTTATTAAACAAATTACATTTTTGAGATAAGTTATGACAAAGAAATAACATTTTTAATTAAGTTTCTTCTTTGATAATTATATCAACTAATTTATTTAATGTAAGTCTTAAAGGTTTTGATCTAAAGGACTTTTTCTTCGCTTCGATAAACAGCCAGATTATAGGGCCAGTTCAACCGTAACCAGATAGTGTGATTCTGATAAAGAATGTATTCCCGGGCAAGAAGACACGCTTTTTTCTACCTTTTAGATATTTATCAACATATACAATATTTCCCTTTTTACTAATGGCTGTATAACGTGAACTAACCATCGACTAGCTGCACTCTAGCTTTTCAAATTTCCTAAAGGTATCTTTCGTATAAACGTGAACTTTTAGTACAATTTTTGTGAATTCAAACTTGAACTGCCTGACCTTCAGGAGTTTCAAGTCTATCTTTCCCAGCCAATACTCACTGAGTATCGCCAGAAACTCCGGCCCAAACAGCTTCTTGTATATTCCGGAAATCGAGTCACGGTGCATTGGCGCAATTAGCACACACACAGAGAATAAATTCGGAAACTCCTGGGGGTTTGGTCAAAGCTCCAAACAAGGGTCCGTTCCGGCTGGCTTAGTGGTGACCCCGAACCCCAAAGCCAGAAGGCTAGATGGAGTTGGCACGGAAACCGTTTGAGCGTCTGCCGCCGTATAAAGTTTAATGAGCCGCAATTAATCGTACATGACAACACTATAAAAACGCTTACGAAAAATTATGTCTTTTTTGTCTGTCTCCCTCCCTCGTCCTAAGTTTTCCATGC